TATATATATAACTTTATAATCAACTTCAGAATCTCGTACACATGCATTTTTTTAAATGTGAGTTTTCAAAAATTATGTGAGAAAATAAGAAGAAAGCCCTGGCTCTCGTGAGGGCAACTCTAAGAAAATGATTTTTAGTACTCATTTATTTTTAGGTTTTGATAGTTTTCGAGATTTTCTTTACTTCGAAAATTTAAAAATTTTTTTTTCGTTCATAATAATTTATTCTCACTTTTACCGCATACGGTTGGAAACTAGAATCGGGTGCCCCATCATTAGGCGACAAATTTCTTTTAAATTGCTGAAACCCATGTTTTATAGTATTTAAAAGCGTATAGTATTTAAAAGCGAAATCCCAATTTTGTCTACTTAAAATCTGAAATCCATACCACCTGTCAGAATTGTATAGATTTTTATGAAAAAGGATAAACTTAATATCTTGGAATATTTTCGTTTAAAACAAAATGCCGTTTACGGTTTTAAAAACTACTCAAAACAGTTATTGGACTGAATATACAGAATTCCCACTGATGGCAGAATATCAAAGAGACTAAGACAAATTTCATGAATGCAAAATTTAAAGGAAGCCGGGGAGGTGCAAGATCTCTTTATGCAGAGTAAGTAAATATTCAAAATTGCAAAAGAAACATTTTTTTAAAGAAATTTGCACTAGTTATTAGGTATGAAAAATTCCAAGTTATGCGCTTATTTAAAGTGTCTATTTTTAAATTAAAGTGTCTATTTTTAATTTAAGTACCAAGTTATGTAATAAAACCACTATGTTTTTAAATGACTTCAATTGTTCAGGAAGTTGAAGAAATTCACCTGACTTAAACTGCTCTTCCTAAACTTTATTTTGAAATTGTGTTTATTATTTAAATAATCAGAAACTATTATTTCAATTGTAACATTCACGTAATTCAGTAGTTTCTAATACTAAAAACAACAGTTAGATTCTCTGAACTAAACAGGAAAATTCTTTAATTTAACATAATAATTAAGCTGCACAAAAAAAGACAAAACTAACTTTTTCACTTTTTTTTAATTTAAGAGAAAGCTGAATTGAAGAGATTAAAAGAACGCAAAATCTAAGTTGGATGTTTCCTTCCACCTGATATATTTTATTTAACTTTGAGATCATGTTATATCTAAAAATTCACGGTCTCTGGAATTTAAAAAAACGTTTTGAAATATGCTTCATTTATTTAAGTAAAAGTTAAACGACAAAAAAAAAATTATTTTCATTCAGGTACTCGTCAATAATATTAGTAACTTTACACTAAACATTTTTCAGATTTTCTTAACAAGGTTCATTTTATGATATTTAATAGAACACAATTTGTTCCGTTCCTTTTTAAAACATTTAAAGTAAGTAGAATCAATCGGCCTGATGTGTGTGTTTCATTAGAAGGCTATCGTGGCGGCGACTGGTTTACACCGTGTGCCCAAGCAAGGGTGGCACGGAATTATTTATCTCTTAAAGTAAGTAGAATTCTCAAAATGAAAAAAAAAATATATATATATGCTGCTACAAACATAATTTATTCATACTTTTTTCTCTCCCTAGAATACAAAATGTGAGTAATACAATAAGTAAATACACCTCAACCTAAAATTTAAAAAACAAACAAATATTAAGCTAAAGCTCTGAGGATAGTGTCCATAAAAGCAATACCTCCTTTTCCCGGTGATAGTAATTCAATAAGAGCCGACATTGTTTCCAAGAGTAACTCAACTAAGATTTCTTCTTTAGATAACTTCGATGATCCTGCTCTAATTTGGCTGGCAACGCCAGATAAGGAGTTCGAAAAGGCAGGAAAGTTCATTTTTCCATCACTCATAATACCAGATAGAGCATTTGCCATAGATGCCATTCTCTGTTTTGCTGCTGCTGACATGAACTGTTGCCGTTGAGCTTCTAATTGCTTTTGAGTAAATAAAGTAAATATTTAAGTGTTGTGACAAGAATCTTATTTAGTTGTACAAAGTACTTCAGCCAAAATTTGGGAGCCACGTAAGAGAATTATATATATTAGTAGATCAGAAACACATCATTAAAAGGCAGAATGCTTTGGTGTTTTCAAAACGTAAACAAAACAAAGCAAACGTTGCCACCGGCGAAAAAGAAATACAGCCAAAATTTGGGAGCCACGTAAGAGAATTATATATAATAGATTAAATAAAAGCACGTGGTATCAGACAACGTGTAAATTTTGTGACGCAGAACACGCGTGCTACACATAATGTTCATTGAATTCATCTGGTATAGCAATATAAAATAATTAAATATTTAAATACGTGCAATGAACTATTTTTTGATCATATGAATCTATCAGCTAGCAATTATCCCTGATGAATCTTTAAAATATGTGAAAATTGATTCGTTAAATTTAAAACAATGGCTAACGCTTTACCAATCAGAAAATTCTATATGGTTTTTCGCTCATCATGCTAGAACGATTTATCGTAGAATGTTCTAATGTTGACAGTGACTTTCCTCGTGCTTGAAACTATCTGTATGCCAAATTTCATCGTTTCCTGTCGGATATATATATATACTATATTGTTTGAACTATACCATTATGTCAGGTGTCGAGTCGCTCGGTTGGGGGGAAAGAGGAAGTAAGAGTTTTAAAATTATAACATATTAATAATTTATTTACAAGAACTATTTACAGACATTAAGTTGTTACATCGTTCTACACATCAAGCTTACTTGGCGCGCACTCCTACGCTCTCTGTTACAAAATCATCTGTCCCTACACATAATTACTACTGCCATCTAGTGGCCAATAATTTGTTTTAAATTTAAATAAAATTAAAGCTTAGTGTTAACAATATATATATATATCTAATTGAGCTTGTCGTTGAGCTTCTGCCTGCCGTTGAGCTTCTGCTTGCTTCTGAGCTTGTGCTTGCCGTTGAGCTTCTGCTTGTTTCTGAGCTTGTGCTTGTCGTTGAGCTTGTGCTTGCCGTTGAGCTTCTACTTGCTTCTGAGCTTGTGCTTGCCGTTGAGCTTGTGCTTGCCGTTGATCTTGAACTTGCCGTTCAGTTTGTACTTGCCGTTGAGCTTGTACTTGAATTTGAGTTTCGACTTGCCGTTGAGTTTGTACTTGCTGTTGAGATTCTACTTGCCGTTGAACTTGTACTTGATTTTGAGCTTGTACTTGATGTTGAGCTTCTACTTGCCGTTGAACTTGCACTTGCCGTTGAGTTTCTACTTGCCGTTGAACTTGTACTTGATGTTCAGCTTGTACTTGCACTTGTGATTCTTCTTGCCGTTGAACTTGTACTTCATGTTGAACTTGTACTTGATGTTGAGCTTGTACTTGATGTTCAGCTTGTACTTGCACTTGAGATTCTACTTGCCGTTGAACTTGTACTTGATGTTGAGTTTGTACTTGATGTTGAGTTTGTACTTGATGTTCAGCTTGTATTTGCCGTTGAACTTGTACTTGATGTTCAGCTTGTACTTGTCGTTGAGCTTGCTCTTGTCTTTGAGCTTCCACTTGCCGTTGAGCTTGTGCTTGCCGTTGAGCTTCTAATTGCTTTTGAGCTTGAGCTTGCCGTTGAGCTTCCAATTGCTTTTGAGCTTGTGCTTGCCGTTGAGCTTCTGCTTGCCGTTGAGATTCTAATTGCTTTTGAGCTTGTGCTTGCTGCTGAGCTTCTAATTGAGCTTGTCGTTGAGCTTCTGCTTGTCGTTGAGCTTCTGCTTGCCGTTGAGCTTCTAATTGAGCTTGTCGTTGAGCTTCTGCTTGCCTTTGAGCTTCTGCTTGCCGTTGAGCTTCAGCTTGAGCTTGTCGTTGAGCTTCTGCTTGCCGTTGGGCTTCTAATTGAGCTTGTCGTTGAGCTTTTGCTTGCCGTTGAGCTTCTAATTGAGCTTGTCGTTGAGCTTCTGCTTGCCGTTGAGCTTCAGCCTGAGCTTGTCGTTGAGCTTCTGCTTGCCGTTGAGCTTGACGTTGAGCTTCTGCTTGCCGTTGAGCTTCTAATTGAGCTTGTCGTTGGGCTTGTGCTTGCCGTTGAGCTTCTGCTTGCCGTTGAGCTTGTGCTTGCCGTTCAGCTTGAACTTGCTGTTGAGCTTGTACTTGCCGTTGAGTTTGTACTTGAATTTGAGCTTCGACTTGCCGTTGAGTTTGTACTTGCTTTTGGGATTCTTCTTGCCGTTGAACTTGTACTTCATGTTGAACTTGTACTTGATGTTGAGCTTGTACTTGATGTTCAGCTTGTACTTGCACTTGAGATTCTTCTTGCCGTTGAACTTGTACTTGATGTTCAGCTTGTACTTGATGTTGAGTTTGTTCTTGATGTTCTGTTTGTACTTGCCGTTGAATTTGTACTTGATGTTCAGCTTGTACTTGCCGTTGAGCTTGCTCTTGTCTTTGAGCTTCTACTTGCCGTTGAGCTTGTGCTTGCCGTTGAGCTTCCAATTGCTTTTGAGCTTGTGCTTGTCGTTGAGCTTCTGCTTGCCGTTGAGCTTCTAATTGAGCTTGACGTTGAGCTTCTGCTTGCCGTTGAGCTTCTAATTGAGCTTGTCGTTGGGCTTCTGCTTGTCGTTGAGCTTCTAATTGAGCTTGCTTTTGACGTTGAGCTTCTGCTTGCCGTTGAGCTTCTAATTGAGCTTGTCTTTGAGCTTCTGCTTGCCGTTGGGCTTCTGCTTGTCGTTGAGCTTCTAATTGAGCTTGCTTTTGACGTTGAGCTTCTGCTTGCCGTTGAGCTTCTAATTGAGCTTGCTTTTGCCGTTGAGCTTCTAATTGAGCTTGTCGCTGAGCTTGTGCTTGCCGTTGAGCTTCTAATTGAGCTTGTCGCTGAACTTCTGCTTGCCGTTGAGCTTGTGCTTGCCGTTGAGCTTGTGCTTGCCGTTGAGCTTCTACTTGCAGTTGAGCTTGTGCTTGCCGTTGAGCTTGAACTTGCCGTTGAGCTTGTACTTGTCGTTGAGTTTGTACTTGTCGTTGAGTTTGTACTTGTCGTTGAGTTTGTGCTTGCCGTTGAACTTGTACTTGCTTTTGCGCTTGTACTTGATGTTCAGCTTGTACTTGCACTTGAGATTCTTCTTGCCGTTGAACTTGTACTTCATGTTGGGCTTGTACTTGATGTTGAGCTTGTACTTGATGTTCAGCTTGTACTTGCACTTGAGATTCTACTTGCCGTTGAATTTGTACTTGATGTTGAGCTTGCACTTGATGTTGAGCTTGTACTTGATGTTGAGCTTGTACTTGATGTTCAGTTTGTTCTTGATGTTCAGTTTGTACTTGCCGTTGAACTTGTGCTTGATGTTCAGCTTGTACTTGCCGTTGAGCTTGCTCTTGTCTTTGAGCTTCTACTTGCCGTTGAGCTTGTGCTTGCCGCTGAGCTTCTAATTGCTTTTGAGCTTGTGCTTGTCGTTGAGCTTCTTCTTGCCGTTGAGCTTCTAATTGAGCTTGTCGTTGAGCTTCTGCTTGTCGTTGAGCTTCTAATTGAGCTTGTCGTTGAGCTTCTGCTTGCCGTTGGGCTTCTGCTTGTCGTTGAGCTTCTAATTGAGCTTGTTTTTGACGTTGAACTTCTGCTTGCCGTTGAGCTTCTGCTTGCCGTTGAGCTTCTAATTGAGCTTGTCGTTGAGCTTCTGCTTGCCGTTGGGCTTCTGCTTGTCGTTGAGCTTCTAATTGAGCTTGCTTTTGACGTTGAGCTTCTAATTGAGCTTGTCGTTGAGCTTCTGCTTGTCGTTGAGCTTCTAATTGAGCTTGCTTTTGTCGTTGAGCTTCTAATTGAGCTTGCTTTTGTCGTTGAGCTTCTACTTGAGCTTGTCGCTGAGCTTCTACTTGAGCTTGTCGCTGAGCTTCTGCTTGCCGTTGAGCTTCTAATTGAGCTTGCCGCTGAGCTTCTGCTTGCCGTTGAGCTTGTGCTTGCTTTTGAGCTTGTGCTTGCCGTTGAGCTTGTACTTGCCGTTGAGCTTGTACTTGATGTTCAGCTTGTACTTGCACTTGAGATTCTACTTGCCGTTGAACTTGTACTTGATGTTGAGCTTGTACTTGATGTTGAGCTTGTACTTGATGTTGAGCTTGTACTTGACGTTGAGCTTGTACTTGATGTTGAGCTTGTACTTGATGTTGAGCTTGTACTTGCTGTTGTACTTGTTCTTGATGTTCATCTTGTACTTGCACTTGAGATTCTTCTTGGCGTTGAACTTGTACTTGATGTTGGGCTTGTACTTGATGTTGAGCTTGTACTTGATGTTGAACTTGTAGTTGATGTTCATCTTGTACTTGCCGTTGAACTTGTACTTGATGTTCAGTTTGTACTTGCACTTGAGATTCTACTTGCCGCTGAACTTGTACTTGATGTTGAGCTTGTACTTGCCGTTGAACTTGTACTTGATGCTCTTCTTGTACTTGCACTTGAGATTCTTCTTGTCGTTGAACCTGTACTTCATGTTGGGCTTGTACTTGATGTTGGGCTTGTACTTGATGTTGAGCTTGTACTTGCCGTTGATCTTGTACTTGATGTTCAGCTTGTACTTGCACTTGAGATTCTACTTGCCGTTGAACTTGTACTTGATGTTGAGCTTGTACTTGATGTTGAGCTTGAACTTGATGTTGAGTTTGTACTTGATGTTCAGCTTGTACTTGCCGTTGAGCTTGCTCTTGTCTTTGAGCTTCTATTTGCCGTTGAGCTTGTGCTTGTCGTTGAGCTTGAGCTTGCCGTTGAGCTTGTGCTTGCCTTTGAGCTTCTAATTGCTTTTGAGCTTGTGCTTGCCGTTGAGCTTGTGCTTGCCGTTGAGCTTGTGCTTGCCGTTGAGCTTGTGCTTGCCGTTGAGCTTGTGCTTGCCGTTGAGCTTGTGCTTGCCGTTGAGCTTGTGCTTGCCGTTGAGCTTGTGCTTGCCGTTGAGCTTGTGCTTGCCGTTGAGCTTGTGCTTGCCGTTGAGCTTGTGCTTGCCGTTGAGCTTGTGCTTGCCGTTGAGCTTGTGCTTGCCGTTGAGCTTGTGCTTGCCGTTGAGCTTGTGCTTGCCGTTGAGCTTGTGCTTGCCGTTGAGCTTGTGCTTGCCGTTGAGCTTGTGCTTGTCGTTGAGCTTCTAATTGAGCTTGTCGTTGAGCTTGTGCTTGCCGTTGAGCTTCTGCTTGCCGTTGAGATTCTAATTGCTTTTGAGCTTGTGCTTGCCGTTGAGCTTCTAATTGAGCTTGTCGTTGAGCTTCTGCTTGCCGTTGTGCTTCTAATTGAGCTTCTGCTTGCCGTTGAGCCTCTAAAGCAGCCTGTTCTTCCAAGGCAATCTTTTTCCCCAAGGCAATCTTTTCTTCCAGTGCAGCTTTTTCTTCTAATGCTATTTGTTCTTCTAAAGCAGCTTCTTCCATTTCTTCTATTTTTTCTACGACTTCATTATTATACATTACAATTGTCATTTCTTTTACTGATTCGATGAAGTTATCATCTGTTGAACCCGTACACTCTTCAAACGCAGCGGCGAGAGCTTGTATCGCACAGTCGAGACCAAAAGTGATGTCATTTCCGGCCTCAAATTGTTCACTAATTGCTTCAGCAATTTTAGTTACCATGTGATGTTTTATTCTACTTGGTTTAGCCTTTTTCCTATATAACCTTCCAATTCCATTTAAAGATTCAGTAAATTCTCTTTCTTTGTCAGTTTTTAGTACGTCACATTTTCTGAGGTAATTAACGAACCGATCTATAAAGTAGAAGGCCAGTCCCTCTTCTTGAAAAAGAGCTTTGGATATTGCGGCGCTCTCTGTTGTCGCTACTAGAGCGCCAAGCAGAAGAGTTGCTACCGGAAACCAGTACATCTTGTTGTATCTCTAAGGCACTACTCTGCTGCTTTTATATTACCAAAATCCTCGTAATTAGATTTAACGAATCGCGTGTTTTCCATTACTTTAATTCAAAATAAACACATCATTATTCACGGTTAATTCAAAACAAACATTGCTTCACTCAGTCTTCTTTCGTATAGTTTACTGAAATGTAAATAAAAAGTCTCTGTTCTGGAAGAAAATGTTTTGTTGGATATTTTATTGCGAAATCTCTTTTAGTATGACAAACAATCTGCAAAATGCGATAATATTTTAATTCGGAATATATTAAATTTTCTCGGTCGAATATCCTCATGGTTTATGTTAAAGCGGCATTGATAAATGTGATAATTTTAGATGATATTAATACATAAGAAAAGATTCCGTTTGAGTGTTGTTGTTTTACTTTATTTTGTCTGTTTGAAAAGGTAATTCGATTTCTCGAATTTCTTGAACTATTATTTTGCCCGTAACTTTCCCTCCCCTTAACCTTATTTATTTATTTAAACAATGCTAAACTACTTTCATTATTGTTTTGCAAGCACAAAATGTTGTTTGAAGCAAAAAGCCGACTACAAGAGAAAAAAATTGTTTTTAATCGATACACGGATTTTCAATTAAACAGTCTGAGCAGTGTGCAAAGTGAAAAGGGGAACATCCTGAGCAACTTTTGATCTGATGATCGGATTATCAAGCTCTAGGTTTTAATTTAAATGGTTCGAGGACCTGACCTCTCTGCTAATTAATTGTCGGACGATATTTTAAGTTGTGAAATCAGACAAAAAAAACTTTCTCTTATTAAACATATCTTTTTTTCGACGAATTCCTATTCTTCAAAATAAGTGTGACCGAAATTCCGAAATATCGGGTCCCAAAAATTCCTTCAATGGAGCATTCGTAAGCTTGTACCCCTTTATGTTCTATTCACTTTTTTCGTATTTTGAAAAAAAAATTTTTATCGAATATTTTAAAAAGAGCAATTTGTAAGATTTTCGTATTTTGTTGTTTGAAATTAAATAAAAAAATTGTGTTTTATAATTCGAAATTTGTTTAACTATTATTAAATAAAATAATTATTAAATCCTTATGCGGTGGATTATCTGAAATGAGGTAGTTATCATAACGTTCTACAGTGGAGCGTCAGTAATGGAATCGGTGTATCGCTATGGCCAGAATGCTCAGAGTAAAGTCAAATTTCTTGATGGTTTTCCATTGATGGACCAATATAATCTTGATGGTAACCATCAATAATTAAATCAAGAGCCATTATGTTTTTTGATGGCAAACAACATAAGTAACCATCACCCCAATGTAGGAATTCGGACTGATTTATGATGACCCAACATTAAACAAAACAAAAAAATTCTTTTGATTTTATATTCCTGCTAAACCAACAAGAATTATCAATAAACCGTCACGAAAATTGCTTTGTTGCACCTTTATGTACCATTACGAATTACCATCATAGTATCTTAGAAATCAAATGTTTGAACGATCATGAGCAACCATCATTCCAAGGTAAGAATTCGGACTGATTTATGATGGTCTACTAATGTAAAAAAATTTTTTTTAATGGTATATTTCTGAGAACCAACAAAAATTTCCATCAAACCATCATAGATTGTTGGTTTATGAGAACCAAACCTCTCTTGATGATTAACCATTATAGTATTAAAGTATCATTTTCCATCATAGAATAATGGAAGTTTGTGGGCATATCAAAAACTATGAACGCATAATTGAAAATGTTGGGTGATGGTAACCATCAAATGATGTAGAACCATCATGAATCGCACTGCAAAGTGTTCCGTCAAAGGGTTTCCCCGATAGTTATTATGAAAACCAATCTATTATTATTATTTTGGTATTTCGTTTATTTTTATGATGTTAGAGCAAATTGCCGATGAAAAAATAAATAAAAAATAAAAATTGTTATTTTTCAATATCATAAAATAAATTATGTAAAAAAAAATTTGAATTATATATATATATATATATATCCTTCCTTCCTTCCTTCCTCAATGGCACGACAGCCCCGGGTGGGCCCTGGCCTTCTCAATCAACTTCCTCCAGGCCTGCCTCCGCCTGGCAGTTGTCTTCCAGTTTGAGACTTTTAAGGCTGAAAGTCTCTTTCCACGCAGTCGGCCCATATCAGCTTTGGTCGACCTCTGGGCTTTGATCCGATGGGCTGAGCCAAAAAGATTATGTTTGTCGAACGCTCTCTGTTCATTCGAATGATGTGACCAGCCCATTTAATTCTTCGGATTTTTACATACTTGACAACATCAGGCTCTCTAAGGGCCCGATAGAGTTCTGAGTTTGAACGTCTGTACCAAGTACCATCAACTTGTTTGCCCCCAAAAATGGATCTTAGGATCCGACGTTCGAAGATTCCCAAGGAATTCTCATCTTTCTGTGTTGTTGTCCAAGTTTCTGAGGCATATGTTAGGATAGGTCTGATTAAGCATNTTCATATGTTCAAAACAACGTTTGCCGGGTCAGCTAGTATATATATATATATATATATATATATATCTTGTCACAATAGTCTGAAATGACTCCAAATTTTTATTTATTTATTATTTTTTGTCTCTTCTGGTGGCTTTATGTTATTAATTTAATCAAAACACATTTTAACAATTCATCCCATAAAATATAAGAAGAAAACATTTTACATAATGCCAGTTGTAACTATTACTAAAATTAATCAGTCATCTTTGGCGTCAATAATAATATGGTAAATTTTCGCGTTTCAACTCGTTATAACAAATATCAAACTAGTACCATTTCTTCATTTCTCTTTTTTTTTTTTGCTTTTTAGTACAGGACTTGTTTATTTTTTCAATTAGCATAATTCCAAAATGAAGTAAACGTCATCGGGGTCAATAATAATGTTCTTAATAATTTTAAATGTTCTAATATGTTTTAGTTGTTTTAAAAAGATTTTTTAAGGAAGACGTTAAAAACTTCTATTACTTTATGACATTAAAAATTAGAACGGTAAATTAGAGCATCACAAATTGTTTTATAATTTTTTTTCCAATGTCCGTCTTCAGGTGTGTGCAAAATAGTTAAGTGTGTGAATAATAGTTAAGCGTCTTCTAGTGTGTCACATATAGTTAATATTTGTTGCCAACTTAAAATCTGAAATCCATATCACCTGTTAGAATTATATAGATTTTTATGAAAAAGGATAAATTTAATATCTTGAAATATTTTCGTTTAAAAAAATGCCTTTTTCGTTTTCAAAAACTACTCAAAACGGGTATTTGACACAGAATATACAAAACAACGCTAGTTTCTTTCCCGCTGATGGCGAAAGATCAAAGAGGCAAATACAAATTTCACGAATGCAAAATTTAAAGGAAGCAGGAAAGGTACATGATCTCTTTATGCAGAGTAAGTAAATATTCGAAATTGCAAAAGAAAGATTTTTTTTACAAACATTTACACAAATTATTATGTATGAAAAATTCCTAGTCCGCTGTGTTTTTAAATGACTTCAATTGTTCAGGAAATTGAAGAAATTCACCTGATTTAAACTCTTCTTCCTAAACTTTCTTTTAAACTTGTGTTTATTATTTAAATAATCAGAAACTGTTATTTTAATTGTAACATTCACGTAATTCAGTAGTTTCTAATAATAAAATAAACAATTATATTCTCTGAACTAAGCAGCAAAATCTTTACTTTAACATAATAATTAAGCTGCCCGGAAAAAAAGAACGAAACTAACTTTTTCACTTTTTCTAATTTAAGAGAAAAATGAATTGAAGAGATTAAAAGAACGCAAAATCTAACTTGGATGTTTCCATCCACCTGATATATTTTATTTAACTGTGAGATCATGTTATATCTAAAAATTCACGGTGTCTGGAATTTAAAAAAACGTTTTGAAATATGCTTCATTTATTTAAGTAAAAGTTAAACGACAAAAAAAAAATTATTTTCATTCAGGTACTCGTCAATAATATTAGTAACTTTACACTAAACATTTTTCAGATTTTCTTAACAAGGTTTATTCTGTGATATTTAATAGAACATGATTTATTCCTTTCCTTTTTAAAAGATTTAAAGTAAGTAGAATCGATCGGCCTGATGTGCGTGTCTCATTAGAAGGCTATCGTGGCGGCGACTTGTTTACAGCGTGTGCCCAAGCAAGGGTGGCATGGAATTATTTATCTATTAAAGTAAGAAGAATTCTCAAAATGAAAAAACATATATATATGCTGCTACAAACATAATTTATTCATGCTTTTCTTTCTCCCTAGAATACAAAATGTGAGTAATACAAAAAGTAAATACACCTCAACCTAAAATAAAAAATATTAAAAAAAAACAAATATTAAGCTAAAGCACTGAGGATAGTTTCCAACAAAGCATTACCTCCTGCTCCCGGTGATAGTAATTCCATAAGAGCCGACATTGTTTCCAAGAGACTCTCAACTAAGATTTCTTCTTTAGATAAGTTCGATGATCCTGCTCTAATTTGGCTGGCTACACTAGATAAGGAGTTCGAAAAGGCAGAAAAGTTCATTTTTCCACCACTCATAATACTAGATAGAGAATTTGACATAGATGCCATTCTCCGTTTTGCTGCTGCTGACACGAACTGTTGTGCTGATCTACTTATAGCTGAATCACTAGAAACTGAAGATTTTGTAGAAGCGGCTGCTTGGTATTGGCTAGATATTTCACTTTGCTGTTGAGCTTGGTATTGGCTCGATGCTGTTGCTTGCTGTTGAGCTTGAGCAGAAGAGGCTGCCTGATACTGGGTGGATGCGGTTGCTGCTGCTTGCTGTTGAGCTTGCACAGAAGCCGCTGCCTGGTACTGGCTAGATGCTGTCGCTGCTGCTTGCTGTTGAGATTGCACAGAATCTTCTGCCTGATACTGGCTAGATGCTGTTGTTGCAGATTGCTGTTGAGATTGCGCAAAAGCGGCAGCTTGGTATTGGCTAGATGCTTCTGTTTGTTGTTGAGCTTGGTATTGGCTCGATGCTGATGCTTGCTGTTGAGCTTCAGCAGAAGAAGCTGCCTGATACTGGCTGGATGCGGTTGCTGCAGCTTGCTGTTGAGCTTGTGCAGAAGAGGATGTCTGATACTGGCTAGATGCGACTGCTGCTGCTTGCTGTTGAGCTTGCACAGATGAGGCTACCTGGTACTGGCTGGATGCGGTTGCTGCAGCTTGCTGTTGAGATTGCGCAGAAGAGGCTGCCTGATACTGGCTGGATGCCGTTGCTTCTGCTTGCTGTTGAGCTTGCGCAGAAGAGGATGTCTGATACTGGCTAGATGCGGCTGCTGCTGCTTGCTGTTGAGCTTGCGCAGATGCAGATGAGGCTGCCTGGTACTGGCTGGATGCGATTGCTGCAGCTTGCTGTTGAGATTGCGCAGAAGAGGCTGCCTGATACTGGCTGGATGCGGTTGCTGCTACTTGTTGTTGGGCTTGCGCAGAAGAGGATGTCTGATACTGGCTAGATGCGGCTGCTGCTGCTTGCTGTTGAGCTTGCGCAGATGCAGATGAGGCTGCCTGGTACTGGCTGGATGCGATTGCTGCAGCTTGCTGTTGAGATTGCGCAGAAGAGGCTGCCTGATACTGGCTAGATGCGACTGCTGCTGCTTGCTGTTGAGCTTGAGCAGATGAGGCAACCTGGTACTGGCTGGATGCGGTTGCTGCTGCTTGCTGTTGAGCTTGTGCAGAAGAGGATGTCTGATACTGGCTAGATGCGGCTGCTGCTTGCTGTTGAGCTTGCGCAGATGAGGCTGCCTGGTACTGGCTGGATGCGGTTGCTGCAGCTTGCTGTTGAGCTTGTGCAGAAGCGGCTGCCTGGTACTGGCTGGATGCGGTTGCTGCAGCTTGCTGTTGAGCTTGTGCAGAAGTGGCTGTCTGATACTGACTGGATGCGGTTGCTGCTGCTTGCTGTTGAGCTTGTGCAGAAGAGGATGTCTGATACTGGCTAGATGCGTCTGCTGCTGCTTGCTGTTGAGCTTGAGCAGAAGAGGCTGCCTGGTACTGGCTGGATGCGGTTGCTGCTGCTTGTTGTTTAGCTTGAGCAGAAGAGGCTGCCTGATACTGGCTGGATGCAGTTGCTGCTGCTTGCTGTTGCGCTTGAGCAGAAGAGGCTGCCTGATACTGATCGGATGCAGTGGCTGCTGCTTGCTGTTGTGCTCGCGCAGAAGCGGCTGCCTGGTACTGTCTAAATGCGGTTGCTGCTGCTTGCTGTTGAGCTTGTGCAGAAGAGGCAGCTTGGTATTGGCTAGATGCTTCTGCTTGCTGTTGAGCTTGGTATTGACTCGATACTGCTGCTTGCTGTTGAGCTTGAACAGAAGCGGCTGCTTGCTGTTCAGCTTGTGCAGAAACGGCTGCTTGGTATTGGCTAGATGCTGCTGTTTGTTGTTGTGCTTGTACAGAAGCGGCTACTTGCTGTTGAGCTTGTGCAGAAGAGGCTGCCTGATACTGGCTAGATGCTACTGCTTGTTTTTGAACTTGCACAGAAGCTGCTGATTCTTGTGGTAAAGGTATCGGTACTGGTAATGGGCGAGGCAACGGTGCTAGAAGTGGTTTGGGTAAAGGTGCAGGAAGTGGTCTAGTCAAAGGCACTGGAACAGGTATCGGCAACGGAGCTGGAAGAGGTCGTGGTAAAGGTGCTGGAAGTGGTTTCGGTATTGGAGTCGGAAGAGGCGTTGGTACTGGTAATGGGCGAGGCAATGGTACTGGAAGAGGTCTCGGCAATGGTGCTGGAAGAGGTCTTGGCAAAGGTGCTGGTAAAGGTTTCGGTAAAGGTACTGGAAGAGGCTTAGGCAATGGAGCTGGAAGAGGTCTTGGTACTGGAATTGGACGAAGCAATGGAGCTGGAAGAGGTTTGGGTAAAGGTTCTGGAAGAGGCTTAGGCAATGGAACTGGAAGAGGTCTTGGTACTGGAATTGGACGTGGCAATGGTGCTGGAATAGGTTTGGAAAAAGGAACAGGAAGTGTTTTTGCCTGATATTGACTAGACGCTACTGCTTGTTCTTGAGCTTGCAAAGAAGCTGCTGCTTGTTGTACAGCTGAAGCGGAAGAAGTTGCTTGGTATTGGTTAGATGCCGCTGTTTGTTGTTGAGCTTGTACAGAAGCGGCTACTTGCTGTTGAGCTTGTACAGAAGCGGCTTCTTGCTGTTGAGCTCGTACAGAAGCGGCTGCTTGGTATTGGCTAGATGCTGCTGTTTGTTGTTGAGCTTGTACAGAAGCGGCTGCTTGTTGTTCAGCTTGGGCGGAAGAAGTTGCTTGGTATTGACTAGATGCTGCTGCTTGCTTCTGAGCTTGCACAGAAGAAGATGCTTGATATTGGTTAGATGCCGCTGTTTGTTGTTGAGCTTGTACAGAAGTGGCTACTTGCTGTTGAGCTCGTAAGGAAGCGGTTGTTAGCTGTTGAGTTTGTATTTGCTGTTGAGCTTGTACTTGCCGTTGAGCTTGTACTTGCCGTTGAGCTTGAACTTGCCGTTCAGCTTGAACTTGCCGCTGAGCCTGTACTTGCCGTTGAGCTTCTAATTGCCGTTGAGCTTCTACTTGTCGTTGAGTTTGTACTTGCCGTTGAGCTTGTACTTGGCGTTGAGCTTCTTCTTGCCGTTGAGCTTCTACTTGCCGTTGAATTTGCACTTGCCGTTGTGCTTCAACTTGCCGCTGAGCTTCTACTCGTCTTTGAGCTTCTACTTGCCGTTGAGCTTGCACTTGCCGTTGAGCTTGCACTTGCCGTTGAGCTTGCACTTGCCGTAGAGCTTCTACTTGCCGTTGAGCTTGTACTTGCCGTTGAGCTTGTACTTGCCGTTGAGCTTCTATTTTCCGTTGCGTTTCCAATTGCCGTTTAGCTTCTGCTTGCCGTTGAGCTTCTATTTGGTGATGAGCTTGTACAAAAGCGGCTGCTTGGTATTGGCTAGATGCTGCTGCTTGTTGTTGAGCTTGTGCAGAAACTGCTGTTTGCTGTTGAGCTTGTACAGAAGATGCTGCTTGGTATTGGCTAGACGTTGCTGTTTGTTGTTGAGCTTGTGTGGAAACGACTGTTTGCTGTTGAGCTTGTACAGAAGCTGCTGCTTGGTTTTGGCTAGATGTTGCTGCTTGTTGTTGAGCTTGTACAGAAGCGACTGCTTGGTATTGGTTAGATGCTGCTGTTTGTTGTTGAACTTGAACTGAAGCGGCTGTTTGCTGTTGAGCTTGTACTTGCCGTTGAGCTTGTGCTTGCCGTTGAGCTTGTGCTTGTCGTTGAGCTTGTGCTTGTTGTTGAGCTTCTAATTGAGCTTGTGCTTGCCGTTGAGCTACTAATTGAGCTTGTGCTTGCCGTTGAGCTTCTAATTGAGCTTGTGCTTGCCGTTGAGCTTCTGCTTGCCGTTGAGCTTCTACTTGCCGTTGAGTTTGTACTTGCTGTTGAGCTTGTACTTGCTGTTGAGCTTGTACTTGCTGTTGAGCTTGTACAGAAGCGGCTACTTGCTGCTGATCTTGTACAGAGGCGTCTGTTTGGTATTGTCTAGATGCTGCTGCCTGTTGTTGAGCTTGTGCAGAAACGGCTGTTTGCTGTTGAGCTTGTACAGAAGCGGCTGCTTGGTATTGTCTTGATGCTGCTGTTTGTTGTTGAGCTTGTACAGAAGCGGCTGTTTGCTGTTGAGCTTGTACAGATGCTGCGGATTGGTATTGGCTAGATGCTGCTGTTTGTTGTTGAGCTTGTACAGAAGCGGCTGCTTGGTATTGGTTAGATGCTGTTGTTTGTTGTTGAATTTGAACTGAAGCGGCTGTTTGCTGTTGAGTTTGTACTTGCCGTTGAGCTTGTGCTTGCCGTTGAACTTGTGCTTGTCGTTGAGCTTGTGCTTGTCGTTGAGCTTGTGCTTGTTGTTGAGCTTCTAATTGAGCTTGTGCTTGCCGTTGAGCATCTAATTGAGCTTGTGCTTGCCGTTGAGCTACTAATTGAGCTTGTGCTTGCCGTTGAGCTTCTAATTGAGCTTGTGCTTGCCGTTGAGCTTCTGCTTGCCGTTGAGCTTCTACTTGCCGTTGAGCCTGCACTTGCCGTTGAGTTTCTATTTGCTGTTGAGCTTCTACTTGCCGCTGAGCTTGTATTTGCTGTTGAGCTTGTACTTGCCGTTGAGCTTGTACAGTAGCGGCTACTTGCTGCTGATCTTGGACAGAAGCGTCTGCTTGGTATTGGCTAGATGCTGCTGCTTGTTGTTGAACTTGTGCGGAAACGGCTGTTTGCTGTTGAGCTTGTACAGAAGCTGCTGCTTGGTGTTGACTAGATGCTGCTGTTTGTTGTTGAGCTTGTACAGAAGCGGATGCTTGGTATTGGTTAGAAGCCGCTGTTTGTTGTTGAATATCCACTGAAGCGGCTGTTTGCCGTTGAGTTTGTACTTGTCGTTGAGCTTGTATTTGCTGTTGAGCTTGTACTTGCCGTTGAGCTTGTGCTTGCAGTTGAGCTTGTGCTTGCCGTTGAGCTTGTGCTTGTCGTTGGGCTTCTGCTTGTTGTTGAGCTTCTGCTCTTTGCTGAGCTTCTAATTGAGCTTGCGCTTGTCGTTGAGCTTGTGCTTGTTGTTGAGCTTCTAATTGAGCTTGTGCTTGCCGTTGAGCATCTAATTGAGCTTGTGCTTGCCGTTGAGCTACTATTTGAGCTTGTGCTTGCCGTTGAGCTTCTAATTGAGCTTGTGCCTGCCGTTGAGCTTCTGCTTGCCGTTGAGCTTGCATTTGCCGTTGAGTTTCTGCCTGCCGTTGAGCTTCTACTAGCCGCTGAGCTTGTACTTGCTGTTGAGCTTGTACTTGCCGTTGAGCTTGTACAGAAGCGGCTACTTGCTGCTGATGTTGGACAGAAGCGTCTGCTTGGTATTGGCTAGATGCTGCTGCTTGTTGTTGAACTTGTACAGAAGCGGCTGTTTGCTGTTGAGCTTGTACAGAAGCTTCTGCTTGGTATTGGCTAGATGCTGCTGCTTGTTGTTGAACTTGTGCGGAAACGGCTGTTTGCTGTTGAGCTTGTACAGAAGCTGCTGCTTGGTGATGGCTAGATGCTGCTGTTTGTTGTTGAGCTTGTACAGAAGCGGCTGCTTGGTATTGGTTAGAAGCCGCTGTTTGTTGTTGAATATCCACTGAAGCGGCTGTTTGCCGTTGAGTTTGTACTTGCCGTTGAGCTTGTATTTGCTGTTGAGCTTGTACTTGCCGTTGAGCTTGTGCTTGCAGTTGAGCTTGTGCTTGCCGTTGAGCTTGTGCTTGTCGTTGGGCTTCTGCTTGTTGTTGAGCTTCTGCTCTTTGCTGAGTTTCTAATTGAGCTTGCGCTTGTCGTTGAGCTTGTGCTTGTTGTTGAGCTTCTAATTGAGCTTGTGCTTGCCGTTGAGCTACTAATTGAGCTTGTGCTTGCCGTTGAGCTTCTAATTGAGCTTGTGCCTGCCGTTGAGCTTCTGCTTGCCGTTGAGCTTGCATTTGCCGTTGAGTTTCTGCTTCCCGTTGAGCTTCTACTTGCCGCTGAGCTTGTACTTGCTGTTGAGCTTGTACTTGCCGTTGAGCTTGTACAGAAGCGGCTACTTGCTGCTGATGTTGGACAGAAGCGTCTGCTTGGTATTGGCTGGATGCTGCTGTTTGTTGTTGAACTTGTACAGAAGCGGCTGTTTGCTGTTGAGCTTGTACAGAAGCTGCTGCTTGGTATTGGCTAGATGCTGCTGTTTGTTGTTGAATTTGCACTGAAGCGGCTGTTTGCTGTTGAGTTTGTACTTGCCGTTGCGCTTGTGCTTGCCGTTGAGCTTCTGCTTGTCGTTGAGCTTCTGTTCGTTGTTGAGCTTCTAATTGAGCTTGTGCTTGCCGTTGAGCTTGTGCTTGCCGTTGAGCTTCTGCTTGTCGTTGAGCTTCTGCTCGTTGTTGAGCTTGTGCTTGCCGTTGAACTTCTGCTTGTCGTTGAGCTACTAATTGAGCTTGTGCTTGCCGTTGAGCTTCTAATTGAGCTTGTGCTTGCCGTTGAGCTTCTGCTTGCCGTTGAGCTTCTACTTGCCGTTGAGCTTGCACTTGCCGTTGAGTTTCTATTTGCCGTTGAGCTTCTACTTGCCGCTGAGCTTGTATTTGCTGTTGAGCTTGTACTTGCCGTTGAGCTTGTACAGAAGCGGCTACTTGCTGCTGATCTTGGACAGAAGCGTCTGCTTGGTATTGGCTAGATGCTGCTGCTTGTTGTTGAGCTTGTGCAGAAACGGCTGTCTGCTGTTGAGCTTTTACAGAAGCGGCTGCTTGGTATTGGCTTGATGCTGCTGTTTGTTGTTGAGCTTGTACAGAAGCGGCTGTTTGCTGTTGAGTTTGTACAGAAGCTGCTGCTTGGTATTGGCTAGATGCTGCAGTTTGTTGTTGAGCTTGTACAGAAGCGGCTTCTTGATATTGGTTAGATGCTGCTGTTTGTTGTTGAACTTGTACTGAAGCGGCTGTTTGCTGTTGAGTTTGTACTTGCCGTTGAGCTTGTACTTGCCGTTGAGCTTGTATTTGCTGTTGAGCTTGTACTTGCCGTTGAGCTTGTGCTTGCCGTTGAGCTTGTGCTTGCCGTTGAGCTTGTGCTTGCTCTTGAGCTTCTAATTGAGCTTGTTCTCGCCGTTGAGCTTCTAATTGAGCTTGTGCTTGCCGTTGAGCTTCTAATTGAGCTTTTGCTTGCCGTTGAGCTTGTGCTTGTCGTTGAGCTTCTAATTGAGCTTGTCGTTGAGCTTGTGCTTGCCGTTGAGCTTCTAATTGCTTTTGAGCTTGTGCTTGCCGTTGAGCTTCTAATTGAGCTTGTGCTTGCCGTTGAGCTTCCAATTGAGCTTGTGCTTGCTGTTGAGCTTCTGCTTGCTTTTGAACTTCTGCTTGCCGTTGAGCTTCTACTTGCCGCTGAGCTTGTACTTGCTGTTGAGCTTGTACTTGCTGTTGAGCTTGTACTTGCCGTTGAGCTTGTACAGAAGCTGCTACTTGCTGCTGATCTTGGACAAACGCGTCTGCTTGGTATTGGCTAGATGCTTGTTGTTGAGATTGTGCAGAAGCGGCTGTTTGCTGTTGAGCTTGTACAGAAGCTGCTGCTTGGTATTGACTAGATGTTGCTGTTTGTTGTTGAGCTTGTACAGAAGCGACTGTTTGCAGTTGAGCTTCTACTTGCTGTTGAGCTTGTACCGAAGCGGCTGCTTGATATTGGCTAGTCGCTGCGGCTTGTTCTTGAGATTGTGAAGATGTGGTGGCCCTGTATTGGCTAGATGCTGCTTGTTGTTGTTGAGCTTCTGAAGAAGCGGTTGCCTGGTATTGTTGTTCTTGAACTGTTTGTTGACTAGTTGAAGCTACTTGTTCAATTTGTTCTTGTGAAATACTTGTTGTTTGTTCTTCAGTTTGTATCTCATTACTTTCATATGATTCTGATTTACTTTCCTGTGTTTGAGAGACTAATAAAGCTTCTTCCAAAGCAGCCTGTTCTTCAACGGCAATCTTTTCTTCCAAGGCAATCTTTTCTTCCAATGCTATTTGTTCTTCTAAAGCAGCTTCTTCCATTTCTTCTATTTTTTCCTCTACTTCATTATTATACATTACAACTGTCATTTCTCTTACTGATTCGATGAAGTTAGCATCTGTTGATCCAGTACACTCTTCAAACGCAGCGGCGAGAGCTTGTATCGCGCAGTCAAGACCAAAAGTGATGTCATTTCCGGCATCAAATTGTTCACTGAGAGCTTCAGCAAATTTTGTTACCATGTGATGTTTTATTTTACCTGGTTTAGTCTTTTTCCTATACAGTCTTCCAATTCCAGTTAAAGATTCAGTAAATTCTCTTTCTCTGTCAATTTTTAGTACACCGCATTTTCTGAAGTAATTAACGAAGCGATCTATAAAGTGAAATGCCAGTCCCTCTTCTTGAAAAAGAGCTTTCGATGTTGTGGCGCTCTCTGTTGTCGCTGCTAGAGCGCAAAGCAGAAGTGTTGCTACCGGAAACCAGTACATCTTGTTGTGTCTCTAAAGCACTTCTCTGCTGCTTTTATACTACCAAAATCCTCATAATTAGATTTAACGAGGCGCCTGTTTCCCATTACTTTAATTCAAAGCAAACAAATAGTTATTCACGGTTAATTCAAAGCAAACATTACTTCACTCAGTTTTCTCTCGTATAGTTTACTGAAATGTTCAAAGTAAACAGAAAGTCTCGCTTTTGGAAGACAATTTTTTGTTGGATAGTTTATTGTGAAATCTCTTTTAGTATGTCAATCAATATGCATAATGCAATAATATTTTAATTCAGAATATTTTAAATTTTCTCGGCCGAATATCCTTATATGAATTATTTCGATGGTTTATTCGTGTTGAACCGTCAGACATTTCCACCCTTGTTTCCTAGAAGTCAAATATTGGAAGGATCATGAGCCACCATCACCCCAATGTAGGATTTCGAACTGATTTATGATGAGCCAACATTAAGCAAAAAAAAATTATTTCGATTTTATATTCCTGCTAAACCAAAAAGAATTATTGTTAAACCGTTATGAAAATTATGTACCATCACGAATTACCATCATAATATCTTAGAAATCAAATGTTTGAACCATCATGAAAAACCATTACTCCAAGGTAAAAATTTGGATTGATTTATGATGGCCTAACATAAAAAAAAAATTGTTTTGATGGTATATTTCTGAGAACCAACAAAAATCCCCATTAAACAATCACGGATTGTTGGTCCATTAGAACCAAACTCCTCTTGATGGTTAACCATTATAGTATTAAAGTATCATTTTCCATCATGGAATAATGGAAGTTTGTGGGCATATTAGAAACCATTAACGCATAATGGAAAATGTTGGATGATGGTAACCATCAAATGATGTGGAATCATCATGAATCGCACTGCAAAGTGTTCCGTCAAAGGGTTTCCCCGAGAGTTATTATGAAGACCAATCTATTATTATTTTGGTATTTCGTTTATTTTTATGATGTTTGAAAAAAATTTTGATGAAAAAATAAATAAAAAATGAAAATTGTTATTTTTCAATATCATGAAATAAATTATGTAAAAAAAAAATGTGAATTACAATAAACTATCAGTATTTCCCCTCTAGCATTTCAACTCAAAATAAGATCAATAAGTTCAACAATACATAAATCCATCTCCCTGACAACCCGTTTTTAATGTTCATTAACCGTTCTTTTTCGTTTCATTTTAATGAAATTATGTTTTATTTTATTAATTTCCAGCTTATGTATGTAAAAAAAAAGAAGTTAAATTTCAGAAGTAGACTCACTAAATTCAGTAGACTCTCTAAATCTAATTTTTATGTTACATTTTTTCTTTGGTTAATTTTGGTTCGCCTTAATAAAAAGTAGTTTTTCCTAGGTTAATATGTTCGCAATCGCTTATATATTTTTTTCCGCAAGAAAGGAGGCTAATTATTTAGGATTCTGAAAAAAATCGGGAACCACTGAATTTAAAGACCCTATAAAAAATTCTGGTAAGAGTTTGTTTAACGAGTGAAGGATTGATAAACCCTATAAATACCCTTAAAAATACAAAAATAAACCTCTTAGTATTTAAACAAAAATATTAAACTCAAACCATAATTTTTTTTCTCTTTAAAATTGCTTTTATTCATGTCAAGATATACAAAGTAATGCACTGCATGGGCGTTCGTTCTACGTCCAAAAGTTGGAAATATACATTGTTACATGCTAAAGAGAAAAATAAGTAAAATATATTGTATATGAATTGTAATGAACATAAAAAAATAACTGGATATCAGATTTACATTGGATGATTAATTTGTCATTTGATATTTTGTAACGTAAATGAGCATCTCTTCCCCAAAAGTAAATATATATATNAAATTGCATGAAATTTCGAATACACACGTTTAAAAAATTATTTAAGTTTATCATCAGGAAAATATGGAACTTTGCTAGATTTGATTAACAAATTTGTGAAAGTGTTATGCTGGTGGAAAAACTGAGATTTTAATTTAACTTTTTGTTTAAATTTTTTAAAAAGTTATATCAAAATATACTGATTACAAATTGAAGTATGAATATTTTACAAAATTAGTTAAAATTTAGTATATATATATATATATTATTTTAAATTAAAATAAAATTAATAAAGGAAATTACCTGTAAATTTATTAATTACATGTATTTAATAAATTTATAGGTAAACAATTATTTACAGGTAATTAATTGTTTGCCTGTTAATTTTTTTTATCTCTCATTTAGCGGCAATTTGTTTAATACGATTTCACTTTCTTTTTTTTAACTATGTTCGCAGGGACATTCGAAACCAAGACTTTACTTATCGGTCAGCAGTAGGGACATAATATTTTTTTTTGCGGGAGAATGAGTAAGGGGATAATTTGGCAACAGTTTTCACCAAGGAAATGTTAAAGCTTGAAATGTTTTCGATATTGCGATATTTTCTTAGAAAAGTATCGATTTTAATAAAAAATTTTTTTAGAATTTCTTCAGACACCTAAAAGTTATTTATTTTTATATTGTAAATTTAATTACACAAATACTGAGTGAAAAGATTTTGTCTGAAAGGGGACTTTATTTCTTCATTTATAAAATATGAGGGGGCTTAAGTTCCCTCTGCGACCACATTCCCTGCAACAAGTTTTATTTTATTTTATAACTGTTGTGGACCAAATTTTTAGGTTTATGACTACTAATATTCAACTCCGTAGCCTTGTAATTTCGAATCCAGTCCAGAAGACAAGGGAACTCCGAGATCAAGTATTGGGATAAATTTGCTTCGTGGAGGACTCCTTGATGGAACTAACCCGCTTTGCGTTACATGGAGACGAAAATCACGAAAACCCCCGACGCAAGGCACCTATAACCCATGATCCGTCTACCACTCAGGATATTTTATATCAGCACTGTGGTTGGGGCAAGCCGGATGTGTAATTCGTATCGACCAGCCATCACTGGGATTCGAACCCGATTCACCTCATTGGAAGGCGAACGCTCTGTCCCCTGAGCCATCGAGGCGCTACTAGACCAATTATAATTATTGTGACGCTGAACGTCACTCAAAATTAAAATCAAAAGAAAGGGGTAAAATTAGATTTATAGAAAATTTCAAGTCTTCGATTAAATTAAACTACTGTGGGAATTCTCCATCGGCAAATAGTAACTTAAATACGGATAAAGTAATTCAAATAAACAATTAGGTTAAAATCTTACAATGTCACCCCCATCATGGGATTAACTCCACCATGGGATTAATCCCGTCATGGGACTAACTCGAAAACAACAATAACTTTTGCACTTGACCTTTCCTCAATTTTGTAACTTTTTGTCGCGCAAAAAATACGATACAGAAGCAACCGAAGGAAAGGGTTAAGAACAATCAAAGTACGACTACTCTAGGCTGATACCGAAAGTCTTGAGTAAACTTGGTAAGTCTCTCTCTCCATCTATTCTAAAAGAACGTAAGCATTATTGTTATTGTGTTAAGTTGGTTTAATTGTAAATTCTAATGCTAAAATGGATTTGTCATAATGCTTAGTTGGTTTAATTGTAAATGCTAATGCTAAAATAGTTTATTAAAATAAAATATTATTTGCTTAAATTTAAGAAGAGTAAGTTTCCGTATTTAATTTAATAACGATAGCATTACGATACGGCCTAAAAAGCGCAACTAAAAGCGCCACAATATTAAGATATTTCTTATTCCGTAAAGAGAAACATTTTACGGATTTACACAAGATTTTCCCTGAGCCATTACGGCTCCAAAACAACAAATTAAAAATGTACTGAAACTACGTTTTTCAACTATTTAATTTTTCTGAAGCCTAAAACAAAAAGCGTGGAATGCTCGAAAGATGTCAGGGAGAGCTTTTCGGTTTTTATTTTAAATGATGTCAGTTAAGACCTAATACCTATTTTAGGTCTAACAGAATTTAAAACATTTCACCAACTTAAAATATTTTAAAAATGCAATTTTCAAGTTTTTTTTATTTTAGTTTAATGTCTATACGTTTCTGTGACCTCCTACTTAAGAGGTAGAAATATCGATAAATAAAGTAGTAATAATATCGCCATTAATTTTGCTCGCATTATTTGATAAACAATATTAAATTGGATTAGCATCAGGCCCCAGTTGAAATTTTGAGCACTATAGCTAGTTCGAAACAGATAGAAATTTTGATAAGTTCTCCTAGACGTTGAAATAGTTCGAAAAATTCTGTTCATAGATGTCTAGAGAAACGATTCATACTTTCATTGTCATCTAACACAGAACTCTGATCCGCGATGGCTCAGGGGATAGAGCGTTCGACTTCCAAAGGTGCGAACCAAGTTTGAATCCCAATTGATACAAATTCCGCATCCGGCTTGCACCAACCACAGTGCTGAAGTGAAATATCCTCAGTGGTAGACGGATCATGGGTTAGAGTTCCCTTGCCGTCAGGCTAACCGTGGGAGGTTCTCGTGGTCTTCCTCTTAATGTAATGCAAATGCGATTTAGCTCCATCAAAAAGTCCTGCACGAAGGCAAATTTCCCCCCTATACTCGATACAGGAGTTCCCTTGTCTTCAGGATTGGGTTCAAAATTACAAGGCTACGGAGTTGAACATTAGTAGTCATGAACCCATAGAATCGGGTCTGCTGTTCAACGACGGTTATAATTATAATATAATCTAACACAGAAGTCCAGTGAAAATTTAAGCACACTAGCGAGTCAAAAATTTAACAATTTCAGCGTAATTATTTCAGCGTAATTTCAGTTAATTTCAGCGTAAATTATTTATTTATTTTAATTTTAATTACGTTATTCAAGTGGGCTAAATAGGAAACAATTTTATTTTTGAGAGGAGTAAAACAAAAACGTTGAGCTCAGCACTTTTGTAAGACGTCGGGGAGAAATATGATTTCTTCGGCAGTGATAAGATGTTTTTACTTGAGTGATGTGCTCTATGTTGGTCAATACTTGTTATCCAATTTAGGTCTGATAAAAATTAAAAAATCT